TATTACGAACATTTATGCATTGATCCTTTTGTTTTAAATTCTTACTAATCATAACTCCCAGATCCCTTTCGCAATCCGACTTCGCAATCACAACACCATCTAGCTCGTATCTTGTAACTCTATCATCATTACCTAACCTCAGAACTTTACATTTATCAGCATTAAACTGCATCTGCCAATCCTTTGACCATTTCAAAACCCTATCTAGATCAACTTGAAGTGATAGTGAGTCCTCCTCCGAATTAATTTCCCTACCGATTTTCGTATCATCGGCAAATTTGCAAATGTTGCTACTCAAACCTGAATCTAAATCATTTATATATATTATAAACAACAGAGGTCCCAGGACAGAGCCTTGAGGCACTCCACTTACAACATTTTCCCACTCTGACTTGATTCCATTTATACTAACTCTCTGTTTCCTTTGGTATAGCCATGCCCTAATCCAGCTTAATATAGCACCCCCAATACCATGAGACTCTATTTTTTTAATCAGTCTTTCATGTGGCACTGTATCAAAAGCTTTGCTAAAGTCAAGGTATACAACATCGCAATCCTTACCACTATCAACTGCCTCAACAATGCTAGAATAAAAAGATAACAAATTTGTTAAACATGAACGGCCATTTATAAAACCATGTTGCGACTCAATTATTAATTTATGTTTTTCAAGATGAAGACGAATTTTATTTGCTATTATAGATTCGAGTAACTTTCCCACAATAGACGTTAGGCTAATTGGTCGATAGTTAGACGCAAGTGATCTATCTCCTTTCTTAAAAACTGGTATCACATTAGCAACTTTCCAAAACTCTGGCACTCTGCCTGACTCTATTGATTTATTAAATATGGTTGACAGTGGGTCACAAAGCTCCTCTTTGCATTCTTTAAGCACCCTAGCAAACACTTCATCCGGCCCTGGGGATTTGTTTGGTTTGAGTTTTACTATTTGTTTAAGAACATCCTCCCTGGTAACTGCTAAACTCGTCAACCTGTCCTCGTCCCCACCCACATAGACTTGTTCGGCTGAAGGCATATTGTTAAGTTCCTCTTTAGTAAATACAGATACAAAATATTTATTAAAAATACTACTCATCTCTTCATCACTATCTGTTATTTGACCTGTCTCAGTTTTTAATGGACCTATCCTTTCCCTAGTCTTAGTACGATATAACTGAAAAAACCCTTTAGGATTTGTCTTTGCTTGCCCTGCTATGCGAACTTCATAGTTCCTTTTTGCTTTCCTTATCTCTTTTTTAACATTTCTAACCAGTTGTACGAATTCCTGTTCTAAAGTGACCTCCCCATTTTTAATCCTTTTGTACCAAGCTCTCTTTTTACCTATAAGGTTCTTCAAATTCTTTGTTATCCACTTTGGGTCATTAGTATACGATCTATTCAATTTGTATGGTATACTACGTTCCTGTGCTTTGTTTAGAATATTCTTAAATAAGTTATATATTGAATCCACATCGAAATCCCCATTTAAGTCACCTAACGCTGGGTTCATGTCTCGCTCCAAGACCGGCCCACACCCCATACCCAAGCCTTTCCAATCAATTTGACCCAAAAAATTTCTTAGGCTATTAAAATCAGCTTTTCGAAAATCTGGCACTTTAACAGAATTTTCTCCTACTGGTCTATTCCATTCTATGCTAAATCTGATTTCTTTGTGATCACTGCTCCCTAGCTCACTCCCTATTTCGATGTCATTAATTTGCGTTTCCCTGTTAGTTAACACTAAATCTAAAATATTATTTTCCCGTGTTGGTTCCTTAATGTGTTGCGTAAGAAAGCAATCGTCAATTAATTCTAGAAAATCTTCTGCTTCACTATTCCCTGTTTTGTTCAACCAGTTTATTCCGCTAAAATTAAAGTCACCCATGACATAAATACTGTTAGATCTAGATGCTCTAGATATTTCATCCCATAGATGCTTTGCTTCCATTCTGTCTAAATTTGGTGGCCTATATATTACTCCTATTATAATATTATTAGCTTTTTCGTTTAATTCAATCCAAATAGTTTCTGTGTGTGGCTCTGTTTTGATTCCCTCTTTGAGACTACATTTCAAATTGTCCCTAACATATATGGCTACTCCACCTCCTCGTCTAATATATCTATCTGTGTGAAATAGTTTAAATCCATATATTTGATATTCAGCTAATAGTTCTCTATTTTCTACATTCATCCACGTTTCGGTAAGTGCAATAATATCTATTTTTTCTGTGCAGACAAGAGCATTTAATTCGTTAATTTTATTTCTTAGACTTCTACTGTTAGTGTAATATACCCTAAGTGAATTGTTATTTTGCGGACCTTCTCTTTCCCTGATCGTTTTGCCAATTCCTTTCTCCCACAAACACATACTTTTATTACCTCCTTCCTCCAAATCAATTCCCATACCTCTATCTACTAACAGTTTAAACCCAAACAAACACCTCTAACCACTTCTTCTAGCGAGTTCGCAACAGCAACAACCCCAGCTCTCGATAGATGCACCCCATCACGAGCATACATTTCATTTACCTTTGTTCTTATGTTCTTATTATGATTCCCGGTAATCTGTTCCATGAATCATCAACCCTATTTCCAGTATTTATTCAAGTCTTTCCTAAAATCTAAACAACGGATATAAATCCAATTTATATCCGTTGTTTCGTGTCTTATTTTGTGTTGAATATTTAGTACCCTATTAATATCCCCCTACGTTATATCCATTTGTATACAGTACTTTGTATTGTCAGTACTTTATACGTACATCATGTCAGCCCTTAGTTTGTTGTTTTAGAGAACGTAAATTACGTTTTCTCAATCTCTCTTCATGTGAAAGTTTCTAATTCCTAGAATTAACTTTATCACCCTTCTCTGAACTCGTTCAAGTGTATATTTGTCCATTCTGTAGTCCGGCGGCCAAAACAGAACTGCTTAATCTAAATGTTATCGGTCACCACGATAATAATATACCAAATATTATCCTCAGATAATATCACTGATCTAACAATAAGTTATATGAAATTTCCCCGACAGAAATCTTTTACTAGGCTACCACTCAATATGTATCACTGCGGAACTCCCCGTCACTATAAAAGACTATCCAATAATTACTGTGGATAGAATACTGGAAAAAAATTGTTAACCACTTACGGGCTATTCATGCCCGTGCCACCTCTTGGGTGGCTTAATCTTAATCAATCAATCAATCTTACTGTGGATGCGCTCCGCTTCCTGTGCCAGGTAAGTCCATTGTGGGCTCGCCATAGCCCGTGCTACTTGCCCCGCTTCTGTGCCAGGTAAGGTACGGGCTCACCATAGCCCGTGCTACTTGGAACTTGTTCCGAGTAGCTGAATCTATAACAACATACTGTGGATGGAGCCACATTTAAATTGGGCGCCGGCGGGAGCATTTTCCCGCCAGGTTATACCCGACGGCAATTGGCTGCGCCGCCCCCCAGGCAGCACGCCCCCCTCAGGCAGACAACCTGCGGGAGGCGCCGCAGGAGGATGCTGACGACGCCTCCTGTACTTCCCCGGAAAGATTTCTGCGCCTGTATCACTTGTTGGTAGTAAATGGATGATTCGCCTGCCTCTTTGCATTCATCATCTACCTCCGAAGCTTACACTCGCTTCTGTCTCTACTCTGGGAGACTGCAGACATAAGGTGGGCCTCTGTTAAGAGCTCATCTTAGTGCTTTGTTTTGTATACATTGTAGTTTCATTTGGTTTGTTTAGGCTGCTAAGGAGAGAGCAAGTGGTGAATAGACGTATTAAAGCTTTGTATAAGTGTATCTGCTTGTGTGTGTGTGGTTGTACATGTCTTAGTCTGTATAGTTATTGGGGATTTCTGTGTGAGTTTCCATGCGATTCTGTGCATTTTTAAGGTTTTGTAAAGGTTTAGTCCAAGTACTGTGGTTGTAGGTCAGTGGGTGTGGAAGATAGTGAGTCGAGTTTTAGTGTCAATTGATTTTTGTGTTTGTTATAAAAATATGTTATTGTTGACTTTCTTGGGTATGTCTGGATACTCCAGATGTATAATGGGATCGAATCTGCATATATTCCGCACAGTCCACAGTGCGTGTGCCAGGTATATGCACTGTGGACTGAACTATGGTGAAATGTTTTTAGCTGATCATGGTCCAGTTGGTGCTGAGTGTTCCTGTGTAGTCCAGGAATGCGGATTTTATCCCATTGTATGTTCTCAATATTTTCTCATTGATGTTTCAACTCAAGAGGTTCACAGAAAGTTACATGTTAGAATGCCACAACCTTTATTATAAACTCAACCAATAATATTAATCCCTAAAACTAATTAACCTTCATTGAATAACAACGTGTTAAGTAATGAGTTTAGATGGAATGAGATATTTTGGACTTTTATTTAGTCTGAGCTATAAATGAGTTCTTAGGCTATTCTAATGTTAAGATACACGGAAGTCGTTACAGTATTGTATATTTTAGAAACAAGAAGTAACTAACAATGCACATTGTAGTGATATCCATTGTTGGTGTAAATCCATTCTGTTTAGATCACTCCCAACTCCTCACATAATACTTCTAAATCTCTCACTTCTTAACTTCTGAATTGTTAAAGAAAATTCTAACCCACTTGGAGAAACACAACATGGTCTTTGGCAGTTCGATGGCCGTCTAAGTATTTTTCATTATTACTTTATTATAAATAGGCCATATTAAGTCAGTTTTTAACTGCTATGTTTCCATTAACAAGTGTTTAGGTTTGGTAAAGTATTCATTGGTCATATTGCAATTGAAGAATTACACTTAACGTTTATAAATTTTGTGAAATTATGAAAAAGACATCTAACACAAGTTGCCTTTTTATGTCGAGCTTCTGCAATAAAACCCTTGTCCACAAAATTCAGTATCAAGATATTCCTCCTCGCATTCCAGCTTTTCGAACTACTGGTCTGCAGATAAACGGTGATGCTGGTATGCTCTTTGTGTCCACGGTTCGTAGTCACATTGTGTCGTTCATCGTAACATTATTGCCCAGTGGTGACTAAGACGGTGCCGTGGTGGGCAATGTTGGTGATGTAGTTGGTGAGTGTCGAGAAGAACAGCTCGGCCACTTCATCCGTCACTTTGGTAGTGTAGTAGTCCAGGGATATCATAAAGCGCTCCAGGAAGGTGTGGAAGACCACAGTGAAGGGGTTACCAGTCAGCTCACTAGAGACGGACCTCAAGAGGTTGGTGATCTCCACAGGTCCATCATATTTACCTGGCAACAGGTCTCGGAGGTCTCCCATGTTTGTGGTGACGAAGTGGCTGTCAGTACGATGCTTGCGTCCTAGACTGGTCAGTAGGTAGTTTATGTGTAAAATTAGTGTGGATAGCCGGTAAAGTGGATAGTTTTTTATGGGTATTTTGTCTACGTTGAGGCTCTTTCTTAAGTCTCCGTTTAAGCGATTCGCCAAACACCAGAAGTTTTCCTTACTGCTAGCGTCGCTACTGCGGATGAGGCGTTCCTGTTCTTCCAGAGAGATGTGGCAGCCAGGAGACTCCTTGTACTCTTGAGGATAGTAACGACGCATGTTGATGCAGTTCACCCCATTGATTAGCGCCTCTTCTAACTGATTCGTTGAGTTTTTCTGTGCCACACTTAATAGGGCCAGGTTCACTGCGGCTACGATACACGAGTGTACTGTAACTCTGGCTTCTTTACACCGTAGCAAGAGCAGCCGCGTTGTTTCCACAGTGTACTCCTTGTGCAGAACCTTGGTTATGGCCAGTCTTGTCGCAGGCTGCTGAAGAGCGCCATTAAAATACAATTTTGTATTATAGTTTGTGAACAAAGAACCATAAATTTTCCTGCAGAAGTACTTAAAAGCACACAACCAGTCTAGTAAAGTAAGTTGTTCTTCGGCAAGACTTGGTATGACCAAACGGGGCAACACCTTGTGCTGACGGCCACTCATGATGGCGTTGAGTATTTGCAGGGTCTCCCGGCACACCTGCATATTGGTGAGACCGTCCGTGATGCAGTGATGAGCGGCGATCACCAGGACGGCTTCGTAGCGACCAGGGGACCGAGGAGGAAGGGGCACCAGCCGCGCCCTCCACAGTGGCCCGCGGGACATTTGGTAGGGCAAGCTTTGAATCTTGCAGTATACTGACATGACGTCACCGTGGTCTACTTTGAAGGGGACTAGGAGGACCTTCATCCGGCGGAACCACGGCCACAGTCCCCGCCACTCCACACACAGCTGCAGTACTTGTGTTTGTCTGCGGGAAGGAAACTAAGTTTTAGCAAAAATTCTGGTATACTATGCATGGCGTCGACTCACAGACGAGGTTTCCTACGAGTACTATATATGAACAAACATACAAGATAATACTGAAACAAATACATTACCAAATATGTATACTTATACATCTATGCACATATATTGATGAAGACATAAACACACACTCAGACATGCACTTAAGACAGTGAGAAACACATACAGTTGTGTATTAGGCTTTAACGGGTGCACAATATATGTATATATAATTACAAACGGGTTTCAGGTGGTGAGTGACTCACCGGGCAACAATGGTGAGTGCCTGTCTGACCTCTTCAGGAAGGATGGGTCGTGTAGAGGAGAGCCACACTCCCTGTACTGTATTGAGAGTGCCATAGTCACCCCCTACAGACATAAACATCTCCAGGCAACCCAACGGTCTCACCCACTCTCCGGGGTCCGCTACAATCTCCCTCGACACAGGTACGCATACATTTAACCTCGAACCTGGATTAATTAGGTCTGTTCTTGTTCTCTTTGGCTCATCTCCAAGCTTTCCCAGCAATAATTCAGATGCCTTTAATAACACTCCCATCCATTTCGACCATTCATGAGACATTGTCAAACCGATCGCAGATTCTTGCACCCCGTGATCGAATATTCTGGACGAGGCTTCTGATTTTCTCAACTTTGGTTTGGTCTGAGGGCTGGCAGTCGCGATTTTGAAGTCTGTGGGTCCAGCCATCTTCTTGCCTAGAAACAAGAGAAAATGTTAGCATACATATCAAATTTTAAATGCTCATTAAACATACTTTATAACTCAACTATGGAACATATTGATCTATCCGCTTGCAACACTTATTGTGAATAAAGATTATCAGCATATAATATATATATATATATATATATATATATATATATATATATATATATATATATATATATATATATATATATATATATATATATATATATATATATATTCCTTCTGAAGATGTATTTAATATACGAAAGTACTTAAGGAAATTCCTGTTTCATTTTCCTCCGTGGTCTGACATTGTCACATTCTTAATCACGTGTTTATTTTCGTGATATACACACACACACACATATATATATATATATATATATATATATATATATATATATATATATATATATATATATATATATATATATATATATATATATTAATAAAACATTATAATTGTCTCTTGTTCATTCATTATAGCATTCTTATTACAATAAATAGTATCAGTGATTAAACAAACACTACCATAATCAAGCAGTCATCCACAGCATACTCCAGCAGTCATCCACAGCATACTCCAGCAGTCATCCACAGCATACTCCAGCAGTCATCCACAGCAGCAACCACCGCATCATAAGACCATGTGTACAGTGCTACTCGCGAATTATGGTGAACCCATATGTCTTTTCAAACCCATTGGTATATGACTACTTTCTCATACGTTCTAGCATATTACCACACCACATTTCTTGTACTTCACAGCAATCAATAATTTCTTCCTTTGTCTCACGGACCTTTGCAGCTTTCCCATCTTTCAGCCACTTTAGTAATGTACTAAACTCCTCCATAGATATATCAGATGGCACATTATTTTTCACTCCGTTCACTTATCAAATCATAGTCACATTAGCTCCCCTTCACTCTGCCAACCCGACACAAACATTTACCAGCGTGATGTCGACACAAATACTAAACACGTTTAAACACACACAAAAATACAAACACACAAAGAAAACCCACAAGTGAAGTAAACAAACAAACAGCCATTGAGAATGCTGCAACCACATTCATTAAATAAGAGACACACGTTTGACCAATTTTGAAATATGTAGTCAGCCTGAAACCTTCACTTCTTCATACCTAAAATGAAACTGGGAAAGTTTCAGTGGCGTGTGTTATAAACCTACTTGTGACAAAATGACACCTCCTCAAACCTTCTGGATATTGATGAGGCTGGATCACATGACAACCCTGATCAACTGTGTCCAGAGTCGCCTGCCGACTGATTCTAATCAGCTACGAGATCATGGATGGATCATGTGATCGACTTCTATTGGCTAGGATATCCGACATAAGGAGGTGGATGCACTCAGTAGAGAGAGAAAGTTTAGCTGCCAGGAACGCTAGGATTGCCTCTCGCGAAGCCACAGTGGTGTTTCAAGGTCTCAGGAACTGGGTGTGCCGTAATTCACTGCGGCGAAAAGGAAGTTACCTTTATATGTTTTGGCTGGTGCTTTTGCGACATCCCCCTAGAAAAAGACAATTGGTTATTTTAAGACTTCCACGGTAAAGTTTTCCTCCTCTTATTACTGCCTTCTCCAGACACCAGGAAGGCAGAAGGATCGGTAATACGGGAACTCGAGTCTTGATAACAATGGGCTGACCAGGAGCGTCAGACCACCAACAGTAAGGGAAGGTATTTTCCTCTCCAATTCTTAGGAAAATTTGATGTTTGGTACACAAATGAAGTGATAAGAGAGGAAACTAACGCCCCTTCAATCAAGGGCGGAAACAATGAGTATTTCATCTTCTTGAATATATAACTCTTGTAGTATAATGGTCTACTTCCTTATGGCCACAGAACATGTCATCTCACGCCTACAGATGACGACATCACGGACCACAACATTCCAGTGTTGAAGTGTTACTAACGTAAATTATTCTCCTTTCCCTGGAGGCCTGGTCGACGACCGGGCCGCGGGGACGCTAAGCCCCGGAAGCACTTCAAGGTAATCAAGGTAATTCCCTAAAGCTGTAGTTTCTTTTGTTCTTACGTTCTTAGCATTCCAAGCTTACTGGGTCAGGATTCATCAAACCTATTGGATCAGAATTTTACACAATCATTTACGAAACCTGTACATCTTTCCTCAATCATTGCGGCTTGGTTTACATAAATTAAACAGTTCACGAGCTTTGGAATTTCACAACCCAAGGTTGTTATTGTTATAAAAACAACCTCGTAGTGCTTCGGAGCGATCTGCTAAATTAATGTAAATAAAGCTGTCATGATTGATAAAAGATATAAAGGTTTCGTAAGTGGTTAAGGAGACAGAAACTTGCCATGTCATCAGATATTTAGGAAAGTCACACGGGCCACACTGCCTTATAAGACAACTGTTCGCGTGTTTACTGAGCAGAGGTGAGGACACGGTCAATTTGAATAACCTGTTTTCATCGCAGTGGTAGTAGTTGCTGTGGCTGCTTACCTCCTAGCATCAATATGTAGAGTCTATAGATGCTGGGCGTCATAATACTCTGTCATATAGCAGTATATAAGAGTTAAATTGAGAAACAGTATGAAAGTGATCGTTTAAATCATGATATTGGAGAGTTACGAAGGGTTTACTCAGCTTATTAACGATCGTACTGCGGCGCAGGGGTAAAAGAGAAACCTACTGCCTCAAGAAGTTGTATATGGGCGAAGGTCAACTGGGTACCCCAGGAGTTACTCAACCGTTGTGGGTTGGACCCACTAGAAGGTCACTACAGCTGGCTTACCCGGACTCCGGTAAGCCTCGCAGGCTTTCTGCAACCCGCTCTCGCACAAAATAGTACATATATGACATTGCTTATAGTCAATATTTGGCATATTAACCTCTATTACATGTGGTATAATATTATGAATTAAAAGCTAGTTATATTAAGAAAACGCTGACACCCAAGTGAGGTTGATAAGGACAGACAGAGGTGGGCGAGGACCGGGGCTGAGCAGCGGGGTGCGCACCTCATTCCTCTCATAGCGTTTGAAGCTGAGAAAAGTATGTACTCCTTTACGTCAACGCCACTCTTAATCTATTAAGAGTGGCCAATTAACACACCTAATCTATCCTAACCTAATGTAACGAGACGAAACTATATGTTGTGTTTTATATATGGGTGGGCACTAGGTGTGTGACGTCACGTCTTATTTTTAATTCTAGTACAGGTTTTAGACTATACTGCTCACGTCAGCCCCCACCCGTTACATAACTTCAAAACTGGAATCTCATATCCTTCGGTGACCGTCAATTTTTGTTACGCAATCTATCAAACCGTTAAAAATACGATGTATTTGTTAGGAATTAATGAACGGTAATTTTGACGTTTTCGGCGCATCGGCCTCGATGGATTTTGTGCCTTGCTTCGATTCGTACGTTCCTTGTTAGACAAAACAGCGTCATTTTGTAACGGAGTGGCAAATCATGAGCACGGGCTGGAGGTACACAAATGAACATTCACCTCTGGCACTACACTACACTACATTCTACAGATTTGTTCATTCACCTCTGGCACTGGTCCCTAGGATTACGAATCCCGAGCCGCTGTCTACTCAGCTACCAGGCCCCCAGATGTAAACAAGTAAACAATATACAGTATTGGTGGGGACTAGCGATGAAAGTGACAGTTTTGTGACATCACAACACTGACGCCTGTGTAGAATATCTTAAGAACGAAACATCTATATTGCAAAATGTGGAAATATCGGTAATGAATGATCAGTTTGCAAAGACGGATCAGCGAAGCGATATACATATCAGCATGCCGTTATACATGTGGCTATGCATGATAAGCAGGGCTATACACTGACAATTTGATATTAAATCAAATTATGACAGTGTTTATTTATGGGAGAATTTTGTGTAAATAGATCGCTGGATCAAGACATATTCGGTGATAGACTGCTACATAGTTGTCTCTCACCTCTCATTGCTACACAGTTGTCTCTCGCTTCTCACTGCTAAGCAATTGTCTCTCACCTCTCATTGCTACTTAGTTATCTCTCATCTCTCACTTTTAACCAATTGTTTCTCGCCTCTCACTGCTACATAGTTGTCTCTCACCTCTCACTGCTAAGCAATTGTCTCTCACCTCAAACCGCTACACAGTTGTTTCTCACTGCTACACAGTTGTCTCTCACTGCTACACAGTTGTCTCACCTCTCACTGCTACACAGTTGTCTCTCACCTCTCACTGCTACACAGTTGTCTCACCTCTCATTGCTACACAGTTGTCTCTCACCTCATCCCTTCACAGCTGTCTCACTTCTCAAACCGTACATGATAGACCAATTGCATCACTGTTATACACCATACAGCGAACATCCCAGTACATCGTTTGTTCTAATTCAAACTATTCGGGTTGTCCATGTGATAAAGGAGTGTCGTCTCTTTGCGTAAAGCTACGTTAGGAATGGACAGAAAATAATATTTGTTTCTGCTCGGCACAAACTTTGGGGGGGATATATACGTTTCCCAACTGAGCTACTCAGCACCAACTGCTCAACTGCCCTAGGACCGTTATATACGAACAATTCTACTCTTTGCATGTGTCTCAATAGCCTAATATACTCGCTAGCCACATACGAGTGGAGTGAATGTACCTTAGCCTCATTTAATATTCAGCTCAAGTGATACATTCCCAACCGTTTCTTTCACACTCTAAAACCATTCGTCCATTTTAGGGACTGTCACCTTGGAAATATACCGAGACTCGGTTTTTTTTAACATAATTCAAACAATTTGTATCGTAATCAAATTGAAATATCTCAATACAGGTAATTCTTTAGGGTATGTGGTGAAGACGGGAAGTATCTGTGCTTTTTACAAAGACTTCTCAACTTATTTTCTAAATTGGATTGGTGTTGAACGTAAAGCCTATCAACTTCTGGAGGATTGTTAAGGCCACCACATTAGCTTCTTGACGAGGCAGGAAGTATATTTCCTGCCTGGACAAATACTAAAGTAGACTCTCATTATATATACAGAAAAATAGGTTACGTCTACATTATTAATTACAATAATGAATCAAGAATAACTTGAAGGTTTTTTGCTTCATCAAAAACAAATTATACGAAATTTTCATTGGTGTTGGGCTTTAGCCTATCAACCGCAGGAGATTATTGAGGGTTAATAACCCCGGTGGAATATTAAGGCCTAGCAATCCTGGAAGGTTACGGGCTCACCATAGCCCGTGCTACTGGAACTTATCGTTCTGAGTAGCGAATCTTAAACAACGACAACCTGAAAGGAATATTCAGGTCACCTTATTAGCTGACTGACCCGTGACCAAATTTTTTATTTTTTTTCCAAGTAGACTTTACTAAAGTAGTCTCACGTATGTGTGCACCGAGACGAGCAAACAAAGCTTTATTCCGTGTATGGTTTTATTAGTTTTTGGTAATATGTTAATTTAGGGTCATTTTAATTAGTCTCTGATATTTGTTTATGGTTCAGTTATACGTGCTTAGAGATTTGTTACTTTCGTTTAGGGGATTATTTTATTTCTGATTATTTGATTAGTTTTTGGTACTATTATGTCTAATGTATTATTAACTTAGAGTATAATATTTAAGGATATTAACCATGTCATTACAACATGGAAGTATTATTACTTAATTATCTTAGAGATTACATAGTGTACTTTAATTATTTCCGTAAGTTCTGCAGGAACCACAAGTACTGTTGACACATACTGAGTTTACTCCGATGACTGCTAGGTCAGTTTTCACTAGTAGAGGCTTACAGGTAATTTGTCTTCCACGTAATTGCCTATACAATGTACTGTTTCTAAAGTACTGTTATACTAGGAACAAAAGTCCTTTCACTTTCATTTAAACACCAGAAGAATTTAGCAGAATTCTTCGCTCGTTTCTCTAATTACATCGCGTTTTGTGGGGGAAACGTTCAATCACTGTGTAAGGTTTTTTCTTTAAAAATCGTCCATCGCCACCTTTATGATTTCTTCACTAGATGGGATCAAAATGACAGATCGACAATTGTTTCAACACTATTGCCTAAAGCAATCAAACATTCCTTGTTATGAAGAGCTTGAGTAGCCTCAACAGTTATCATCTGCATTCAGACCATATCTCGCATCTGCATTTTTATTAGTACACGCATCACTTGCAGATACAATGACCCAAGATTGTTGTTCTTTCAACGAATTCCCTTCACTTTACTTTCTAGGTGACTTCTTGTCTCTAACATCTTAGTAATCGGGTCCCGTTCTGCGCCGTCGTGGGGTTTTCTTGCATTGATCAGCGAAGTTCTTGGTAGATGGAGCAGATTCCGAGTCAAGCTCTGAAACTGGTCAGTTACTTGAGATGTGATGTAACTTCTGGACAGTACGTCTAGGGGCGATAGTATGCTCCCAAGACTAATGGTTGCACTGACGTCTGGGCACAGCACTAATGGTTGGAATTCCCGGACTGATGGTTGTACTTTTTGACCTGATGGTTATATTTATAGAATTGATGGTTTCACCGGCGTTTTTGCAGCACTTCCAGGACTCCTGGTTATATATTCAGTACTAATGATTGCACTGACGTCTGGACAACACTTAAATTTTCAGGCCTGAAATTGTACCGGCATCTGGGTAGCATTTCCAGGACTGTTGGTTGTAATTTCAGAGCAGTTGATTGTACTTCCAGAACTGATGATTGTATTTCTAAGACTAATGGTTATACTTCCAGAACTGATGGTTGTACTCCCAGGACTGATGGGTGCACTTCCAGAACTGTTGTACTTCCAGGGCTGCAATGCGTACCGGTGTCTGGCACAGCCGCCACTGTTGGAGAACGTTGAAGGGTGGTTAATTCTGGAGGTCAGTTGCGGGTCTTGTGGCACGTCACCTTGTGTACCGCCCCTTGGGTGGAGACTACTTCCTTTCTCTTGATTGGCTCTTGCAGTATGGTTGGAAATCCTTTGTCTATCCACTTGGGACTCGTCGATACAGAGAAGGCGTTGCTTCTTGCAGGTCGGCTGTTGATCACTGATAATCCAGGTACAATCCTCCCGTCTTATCCTAGCTTATTGCCCTGTATCCCTTCCAAGCGTTATGTGGTATTACTGGCTTAGCGATTTATCCTGATAATTGCTTTAGCCTTGCATCATGTTTCTCCGAAGAGACTATATACTGCTTCATGCTATCAGTATTTATATATACTTGTTAAGACGAGGAGGCTTAAGACTGATAGAACAGCACTTTATACAATGTTCACAAATTGTGTGGTAATCAGGTAGTATTATCCCGGACCGCGCAATAATTAATAAATGGAGTCGATCATGATTTGTTCGATATTCTTTAATGGCTCTAGGAAGAGTTTTAGGCTTCGATGCGAGGTTCATTGAGAAGCTGGTGACAAAACATGGTGAAGCTGGTGAAGTTCCTTGAACCTCTTGAGACGGAGATGCCTAGCAAGTGAAAGTAAAATCACCGGTGGTACCTCTTATGTCAACCAGACTTCCTCCCGTAGGAAGACAATAATCCTGTGTTAAGAAGTTCATCGGTAGTGTTTGATGACTCATTGGAAGAAAGATTCAGGCCACGCAAGTCTGTTACTCGGCCGGCAAACCTAGTACGGCCAGGGTACATAATGAACAATGACTGGTGGGTCGCAGCCGCATGGAGGCGGTTATTAAACCACCTCCACGCAAGTTGAATGGGTTGAACTGGCGCTTGAACAATAACCCCGGCCGTAATAAACACGCTGTTAAACTCTGTATCGAGCAAACCCAACGTGCACATCATTAAGCTATGCTGATGATACATATTCAAATACCTTGGCCTTGAGGTGCCACTGTATGGTCCTGTTGTATTCAGACTGTTGTCAGTATAAAGAAAGGCTCAGAGCTCTCAAGGTTATTTCAGGTTATCACTCAGGTTATGGTGCCAATGTCAGAATTGTCAAAATAATGTACCTTGCATACATCATATCTTTAGATCAATAATACAAAAGTCAACATTCTGGTGGCCCATCACTACATTCTGGTGGCCCATCACTACATACTGGTACATTCTGGTGGTCCATCACTACATATTGGTACATTCTGGTGACCCATCACTACATACTGGTACATTCTGGTGGTCCATCACTACATATTGGTACTTTCTGGTGGTCCATCACTACATATTGGTACTTTCTGGTGGTCCATTACTACATATTGGTACTTTCTGGTGGCCCATCACTACATATCGGTACTTTCTGGTGGTCCATCACTACATATCGGTACTTTCTGGTGGTCCATCACTACATATCGGTACTTTCTGTACCAATATGATTGCGGAGACTTCCACTGAAGCCGGATCAGGGTTTTCACAACCCCCTCCCCATGCTCTCTGGCTCTGTCATCTAGGAAGGTTCTACCTCTGATGCCCCCTCTTCAGTACACAGAGAAAACACACTACAGTGATGTAACCATGAGAAAATTGATTAGTCTGGGGCGTATGCCTGGAAATACCCAGCGCATAGGTTCGAATCCTCATCACGGCTCCCACGGATGTTCTCATTGATACATCACGTAAGTGTGATTTCTCTGTATCCAGGGTTATCAATTTACTGCTAGTTGAACCGCGACATTAAGCGAAAGGAAAGAGCGAACCCGTTCTTGTTTTGGAGAGAAACACGCAAAAACTACGATGACCATAAAGAAGAAAGAGGCAGAGAGTAAACAATACAGGTGGCGCCATCTTCCTCCTGTACAAGTTACAGCCCCGCTCCTGTGCCAGGTAAGTCCACTACGGGTTCACCATAGCCCGTGCTACTTGGAACGTTTTGTTCCCAGTAGCTGAATCTTAAACAGCAACATTCCTCCTGTAGGCTATGCTCTTCCTAACTGCCGATCACGAAGTTCCCGCACAGTTAGGCCGGGCAGCTGACTCCTGACCGTACCAAATGGTCCGGTGACTTAACAAACTCACGTGTTTTGAATCATTCTTCCAGTGATTATTACTCATGGTATTCCGGCGAGATTTAAAGTCTCAGCTGAGTACCAATTGAGTACTTTTGAGGTTCTTGCCCCCACCAACGGTGTCCTGCTTGGTGGGGGACAAGCTATATATATATAGAATTCTTTCCCTCCTTCAACTGCTATAAATATGCTGGAAAAAATATTAGAGTATATTTGTTGAGCACAAAAAGGAAGCCCGTAGTAAAACCATGTTATGATACCTGTATTAATAACTGTTTTTTCAAGATGTAAACAAATAGGCTTTGCTATTATCGATTCAGACTAATTGCAAACAAATATTTGTTTTTACTAGTAGTAATACTACTAACTTCGAAAATAAAAATATATAACCTTTTATCACTATTATGAAACCGTGTGACGTTTAAAACTACAGATTTAGATTTAGATTTTTTATTCAGGTAAAGGTACATACATTGAGTTACATAATGTTAGATTTAAAGATAGAAAAAGTACATGCAATGCCTAAAGCCACTAGTACGCATAGCGTTTCGGGCAAATCTGTATACAGTATAATATAATATACAAATTAAGCACTATATAAACATATATTAATTTCACATCATCCAGAAATCTCTCCTCACATTGCTGTTACTACACAGTTAAATGTCATTATTTTTCTTTATTAAGTAATATACAATATAAAGATCATATTTACATCAATTTACAAATTTACAAAGGAAAATACTACATTTATATATAGTTTATATAAGTTAACAAATTGTCCATATCATCACCGAGCATGAGCCGTAAACCCCAAATGTTATACTTGATCCTGCCTCGCAAGAACTTCTATATTTTGTCTACTGGGTAACCCTCCAGCCTGCCTATCCACACACTAAAAATGTAATCGGAAAGTAGCATCAGTCTTTTTTTAATCTCGCATGTCGTTCATCACAACATTAGGCTTCAGGGTTCACTAAGACGGTGCCGTGGTGGGCAATGTTGTTGATATAGTTGGTGAGTGTGGAGAAGATCAGCTCGGCCACTTCATCCGTCATTTTGGTAGTGTAGTAGTCCAGGGATATCATAAAGCGTTCCAGGAAGGTGTGGAAGTTCAGAGTAAATGGATGACCCATAATCTCGCTAGAGACGGACCTCAAGAGGTTGGTGATCTCCACAGGTCCATCATATTTACCTGGCAGCAGGTCTCGGAGGTTCCCCATGTTCATAGTGACGAAGTGACAATCAGTACGATGCTTGCGTCCTAGTCGCGTCAACTTGTGGTTGATGTGAAGCATGAGAGTGGACAACCGGCAGAGTGGATAGTTTTTTATAGGTATTGTGTCCACAATGAGACTTCTCTTCAGGTCCTTGTTTAAGAGATACGCCAAACACCAGAAGTCTTCCTTACTGCTGGCGTCGCTACTGAGGATGAGGCGTTCCTGTTCGTCCAGAGAGATGTGGCAGCCAGGAGACTCCTTGCACGCTCGAGGATAGTAATGACGCATGTTGATGCAGTTCATTACTCTGATAAGCGCTTCATCAATATCCCTCGACGACTGTTTCTGGGCGACACGTAAGAGAGCCAAGTTTGCCGCCGCTACGACACACGAGTGGACCGTAACTCCGGCTTCTTTACACCTTAACAAGAGCAGCCGCGATGTCTCCACAGTGTACTCCTTGTGCAGAACTTTTGTTATTGCCTGCTTTGTCGCCGGCTGCTGAAAAGCCCCGTTAAAGTAAAATTTTGTACTATAGTTTTTCATCAATAAGCCATAAAGTTTGCAACAAAAATTCTTCAGGACAAACAACCTGTCTTGAACGGTAACTTGGTCCTCGGCGATGTTTGATATGACCAGTCGGGAGGTCACAGTGGGCTGACGGCCGCTCATGATGGCGTTGAGCACCTGCAGGGTCTCCCGGCACAACACCATGTTGGTGACACCGTCCGTGATGCAGTGATGAGCAGCGATCACCAGGACGGCTTCGTAGCGACCAGGACACCGCGGAGGAAGGGGCACCAGCCGCGCCCTCCACAGTGGCCCGCGGGACATTTCGTAAGGCATCCAAAGGGTCTTGTAATAAACAAACATGACGTCATCACGTTCCACTTTGAAAGGTATTATGAGGCGTTTAATTCTGCGGAACCAGAGCTGGCGACCCCGCCACTCCACACGCAGCTGTAGCACGTGTGTTCGGCTGTGGCAAGGTAAAGGATATATCAAAACATGCACAGTTTCATACATATTGATAGCTGAAATATATATAATGAGTTATATAACCCCTTTTACATGTACTCTCACACCCTTAAACATGTCCTTGCAAAAATTATACATCGCATTCTGTAAGAACATAAGAATGAAGGTAACTCCAGAAGACCTTTTGACCCATACTAGGCAGCTCCTATTTCTATCCACTCAGTCTCATTTATATATATGTCTAATCTACGCTTGAAACAATCAAGGGATCCGACTTATATTATGTTATGCAATAATTGGTTCCACAATTCAACAACCCTGTTAACGCCTATTATGGGAAAGTTGCTTCATTGGATAATGGCAAAAGCCATAGATAGGTTTAGATTTAGGAAAGACCTAAGTAACTGCTGGTTCGGTAACAGAGTTGTCGATTTGTGTAACCAATTACCGCGTATCATAATAGAAGTAGGAGCCCTTGATTGTTTCAAGCGTAGGTTAGGCAAATATATGAATGAGATTGGATGGAGCTGCCTCGTATGGGACAATAGGCCTTCTGCAGTTACCTTGATTCTTATGTTCTTATGTAATATACGTACACATACATATACACAAATGAAATAGACGACGATATTTGAGACCTAAGCACAGAAGTTAGGGTGTAATCGGTGCCCAAAGTGAAAAATAACTTCTAAAAATGCATTTGGTACTTACTGAGCAACGATGGAGATTGCCTTCCAAACCTCCTCTGGGAGGATGGGTTGTGTGGAGGAGAGCCACAGTCCTTGTACAGTGTTGAGGGTGCCGTAGTCACCTCCTACAGCCATGAACGTCTCCTGGTAGCCTAGGGGCCGCACCCACTCTCCAGGGTTGACTAGTATCTCCCTCGTAGGAGCTGCAGAAGACTTCTTCCACATGCTTACACATTCATCCGCGTCTGTACCAGATTTTATTAAGAACATAAGTATCAAGGAAACTGCAGCAGGCCTATTGGCCCATATGTGGAAGGTCCTATTTATATACACAGAAACTAATATATATATCGAACCTACACTGAAACAATCAAGGGATCCTACTTCTATTATGTTACGCGGTGATTGGTTCCACATATCAACAACCCTGTTACCGAACAAGTATTCTTTCCTAAATCTAAACTTGTTTTCACGTGAAAAGAAACATGAAATACCGTGAACCTCTATCTAATTAATCAATCTTTCATGTGGCACTGTATCAAATGCTTTGCTAAAGTCAAGGTACACAACGTCACTAACCTTTCCACTATCAACTAGAATTATACTGAAGTAGAATGATAGCAAATGTGTCAAACTTGAACGGCCCTCAGTAAAACCATGATGTAAATCATTTATTAATCTATGTTATTGATCAAGATGAAGACGGACGGCTTTTGCAGTTATCAATTCAAGCAATTTTCCCACGATAGACGTTAAGCTAACTGCCCAATAGTTAAGCGCAAGAAGTTTATTTTCTTTCTTGAAAATTGGTACCACTCACAGGAGGGCAGGGACCTGCTACTCACAGGACGGCAGGGACCTGCTACCCACAGGACGGCAGGGACCTGCTACCCACATAAGATTAAACTCTGCCCTAGTAACTGAATTAACAACAACTTACTCTTGCCAAAGACCCTTCACTCGCGTCACTTCCTGCTGCTGCTGCCAGAAACGCACTGACCCGTCCCTCTCACCGCTGTCCCAAGATGATTTGACCTCCTAGTTGGGTTGGGTAAGGGTCACCACACCTCCCAAGTCCCAACTGCTTCCCACTATAACATAATCCCTAATTCATATATCAAAGCCGCAGAATTTAAAACATTTTGCTATGTCCATATATATATATCCATCAGTTTAAAGCCTAGTATCTAGACAATAGTAATTAAGTGCGTGACCGCGGTGGTACGGTCGAGTCTGTTCCCGACGCCCTGTTCCCTAAATAAATCTAGACAGTCGCGATCGGGCATTCCAGGTTCGAATCCCGGCCGGGACAGAAAAGGTTGGGCACGTTTCCTATCATCTCACGGGAGACATCTCCCGTCACGCAGGGTGCAGTCGCACCTCCACAGATCTCCAGTATCAGCTCTTGATACTGGTAATGGCTCAAAAAGGACCACCACTTACGGGCTATTCATGTCCGTACCACCTTTTGGGTGGCTTAATCTTTATCAATCATCAATCCTATCATCTAATGTCCCTGTTTACTGAATAGTAAATAGGTACACAGGAGTTAGTCAGCTTATTGTTGGGTTGCATCCTGGGGAGCCTAATAATACATTCATTTTATTCATTTAACAGACACCAGGACCGTACTGTCAGATTGTTTAATAATATTATTATTTTCGACCACATATGTACCCATTCATTTACAATGCTAACCAAGATATATACATTTTCGTCTTTCCTCTCTGGACAAGGTTTAGAGATCTGTTAAACACATTGTTCAGTGATGTATTGATCAATCAACTACAGAAGGTGATTGTTGTGCTCTTTAAATGCTAATTTAACCTACATACATAGATTCAAAGATTTACATATGTCCTACATAAACAGTGTTCGAGGTATGTTCTTATATGCATAATGTGATTAATGTGAGTTTATAAAGGTGAAATGCACTTCTGACCAGCTTACACCTTGATGTATACATACATACATACATCTAGGCATATACATATACACATGTATATTTACTGCCTGAAAAGCTATGAGTATTAGTGGCTTTGCAAGAATGTAAGAACACTGTTATTTACTCAAACAACCAAATGTACCTTCTTGTATATAAATAAATAACTACAAATAAATTTGTCTCTCCTACTTTGACAGGTCATGACAGCGTCTATAGAATGCAGTGTTAAATTGAATAAGTTTAGATTTAGGAAAGATCTGGGTAAATACTGGCTTGGAAACAAGGTTGTTGATTTAGGGAGCAAATTACCGGTTTACTTAATATATGCGGGATCGATAAATTGTTTCAAGTGTAGGTTTGACATATACAGCATATCTATCCGATGTTGATGTCAGTGCACTCCCTAATCACGACTCCACGTCACCGAGCCATTGGTAAAGTACTGAATGTTGTTGTTGTTATAGATTCAGCTACTCGGAACACGTTCCAAGTAGCACGGGCTATGGTGAGCCCGTAACTTACCTAGCACAGGAGCGGGGCAAGAAGCAGGGGCTATGGTTAGCCTGAAGTACTGAATTTAGATATTTCTTTAATAATATTATCATACATTGCTTTCAATATGATTGTTTCAAGCGTGGGATAGACTTGTGAGTGGTAAGTTGTGGTGGATATATCCGTGTAAGTGGGAGCTACCAAGTTTAAGTTCAAGTAAGTTTATTGAGAAAGGGAAGTACACCTCAAAAGGATTACAGTAGCTTAGGCTATTTCTACCCTCGAGGGAGCTGCCTTGTTTGGGCCCGGGTCTGTTTAGCTTTTTCCCTCTTTCCTTTCTACTCTATCGTATATACTCTTTTTCTTTAGTAGGAGACCACTATCGCCCTCGGCGTTACGTTCTATCCCCATGGTTGTGTTAATTGTGTTTTAGGTCATTAAAATACATTCTTAAAAGACATATTTTGCAACATTATAAAATATAGTTCTAAATTATCCTCTCTTGTTGTACCTTAAACTAAACTTTAATTTATTCCAACTTCTTGAGCTGAAGGGATTAATTCATTAATTCCGCCCCACCCCTCTCGTTAGGCTAATCACTGAAGCTACTGTGTTTCTCTCGGAAACTCTATCCCCAATACTCTGTAAGTTCAGTTCCAGTCTCATTACCTTAATCATAGCATCGCTTTGGCAAAAGAACATAAAAATGAAGGTAACTGCAGAAGGCCTATTGGCCCATACAAGGCAGCTCCTATTTATATCCACCCAATCTCATTCATATATACTGTATGTCGGAGGGAGCCGGTCGGCCGAGCGGACAGCACGCTGGACTTGTGATCCTGTGGTCCCGGGTTCGATCCCAGGTGCCGGCGAGAAACAATAGGCAGAGTTTCTTTCACCCTATGCCCCTGTTACCTAACAGTAAAATAGGTACCTGGGTGTTAGTCAGCTGTCACGGGCTGCTTCCTGGGGGTGGAGGCCTGGTCGAGGACTGGGCCGCGGGGACACTTAAAAAAAAGCCCGGAAATCATCTCAAGATAACCTCAAGAAGATGTCTAACCTACGCTTGAAACAATCAAGGGATCCTACTTTTATTATGTTACGCGGCAATGGGTTCTACAAATTAACAACCCTATTACCAAACCAAGGCACCATTTGGTCACCATTTGATCTGGGAGACATCTCCCGCCACGCAGGGTGCAGTCGCACCTCCACAGATCTCCAGTATCAGCTCTTGATACTGGTAATGGCTCAAAAGGGCCACCACTTACGGGCTATTCATGCCCGTGCCACCTCTTGGGTGGCTTAATCTTTATCAATCATCAATCACCAAACCAGTATTCACCACTTGGTCCGGGAGACATCTCCCGTCACGCTGGGTGCAGTTGCGCCTCCACAGATCTCCAGTATCATCTTTTGATACTGGTAATGGCTCGAAAGGGCCACCACTTACGGGCTATTCATGCCCGTGCCACCTCTTGGGTGGCTTAATCTTCATCAATCAATCAATCAGAATATGTACAGACATCTCCCGTCACGCAGGGTGCAGTCGCACCTCCACAGATCTCCAGTATCATCTATTGATACTGGAAATGGCTCAAAAGGGCCACCACTTATGGGCTATTCATGCCCAAGCCACCTTTTGGGTGGCTTAATCTTCTCTCTCTCTCTCTCTCTTCCTCATCACCACCGGGAGACATCTCCCGTCACGCTGGGTGCAGTCGCACCTCCACAGGTCTCCAGTATCATCTATTGATACTGGTGATGGCTCAAAAGGGCCACCACTTACGGCTTCATCTTCATCTTAACATATTCACAAGGGAAACATCTCCCATCATGCAGGGTGCATTCGCACCTCCACAGATCTCCAGTATCAGCTCTTGATACTGGTAATGGCTTAAAAGGGCCACCACTTACGGGCTATTCATGCCCGTGCCACCTTTTGGGTGGCTTAATCTTCATCAATCAATCAATCAAACCAGTATTTACCCAGATCTTTCCTCGTAAACAACATGAATGATATTATGGCTGGAAATGGGAACAACCCCATTAGATGTATCAGTGCCGGTGGAAATGATGTAGGATGAGTTAGGAGTGAGGAACTGATACAGAGGTTTAAGAGAGCCATAGAATTAGTTTGAAGCAAGGGAGGAATCCCGATCATATGTGGTCATTATTCCAAGAAAGGGAGGTAGAAATAAATGGTTGTAGAGGGCATTTGGTGTCCATTGCCGACTAGAGAAACATTGTAAATTAAATGTAACATCATTTATTAATAACTGGAAACACTTCTATGAAAGGAATGACATGTATGCTCGACGTTGTTTTTGATTTAGCTACTCAAAACGAAATGTCCATGTAGCACAGGCTATAGTGAACCCGTAATTGAGTTTGATTATTCACGATAACATTGTTACTGGGATATTTGGGTCACAGTTTTAAATGGAGGTGGGGTTTCCTCGCCTACGCTGGACGCGTTTTGGTAAATTTATATCTATTCTATAGTATGGCGACCAAAACTGAGCTGCATAATCTTAATGGGGCCTAACAAGAGCAAGATATAGCTGAAGAATAACACCAGGTGTCTTGTTACTAACGCTGCGAGAAATAAATCCCAGTGTCCTATTTACCTTATTACGAACATTTATGCATTGATTTTTTTGGTTTTAAATTCTTACTAATCGTAACTCCCAGATCCCTTTCGCTATCCGACTTCCCAATCTCAACACCATCTAGCTCGTATCTTGTAACTATCATCATTACCTAACCTTAAACCCCTACATTTGTC